CGCCGGCGCCGCTCCTTCCGCCGACTCCGCGGAGCCATTTCCGGCTGAAGAGGACGCGGCAGCGGCGGCGGCGGGGGAGGCGGCGGCGGAGGCGGCGGCGGACGAGGCGGAGGCGGCGGCAAAGGCGGCGGAAAAGGCGGCGGAAAAGGCGGCGGAAAAGGCGGCGGCATGCGACGGCACGGCGGCGACGTCTCCTCTCGATGTGTACCTCTGTTCGCGCGAGGCGCGAGATTACCCGAGATTACCCGAGACTGGCCGAGATTGGCCGAGATTGCTCCCCGCCCCACTCGGCGAGCGCGTGAGATGGCAACGAGATGACCCGAGATGACCCGAGATGACCCGAGATGACCCGAGATGACCCGAGATGACCCGAGATGACACCGAGATGACACCGAGATGACCCGAGATGACAACGAGATGACCCGAGATGACAACGAGATGACCCGAGATGACCCGAGATGACCCGAGATGACCCGAGATGACCCGAGCTGAACCGAGATGACGCGAGATGACGCGAGATGACCCGAGATGACCCGAGCTGAACCGAGATGACGCGAGATGACGCGAGATGACCCGAGATGACCCGAGATGACCCGAGATGACCCGCGGGTCAATCGGCGCACTCGCACAGCAGGCGCCACCGGCCGCTCGTCCCGTGCCGGCCGCACTCGTGCAGAGCCGGGGAGGCGCGCCGACGAGGGTGGCGCGGGAGTCTAGAGGCGGAAGACGCAGTCTCGTCTTTTAAGTAGCGCCCGAGGGGGGGGGGGGGGGTACGTACTCCAACTGTATTCGGCCGCATGAGGCTGTCTCCCGCGGTCTCCGCCTCCGCCGTCTCTGAAGACACTGCGCATCACACAGAGCTCCCGCCCTGAGGTTGGCGTATTCACTGTAGGCTAGGGAGGGGTACATGCCGCGCGATGGCGGGTACCCTGGTGGCGGGCAGCCCGGCGGGACCCTCGGAGACGGCGCGGCCGACAGCTCGGCGGACGAGGCGGAGGCGGAGGCGGAGGAGGCTGCCATCCTAGACCGGCTCTACAGCGAGGAGCGCGCGGCGCTGCGTGCGGCGGCCGCGTCGCAGCAGCAGTGAGGTGGTCTAGTAGGGCTGGAGTTGCAGCAGTGGCGCGGGCGCAGGCGCGAAGGGTGAAGTCAAGAGGAGGGGTCGAGACTGGGGGGGCAGGGGGGGGGGGGGGGGGGGGGGTTGGATGGGAGGGAGGAGGTTCGCACAGCGATCGATTGGGGCTATCTAGGCGGTCTCGGGTCGGTAGCATCCATGGTAGGCCGGCAGCGTCCATCGAGTAGGCGGTGTGCACATAGAGTAAACCTCCAGCCCACTTGGATCTTGATCGCATAACACACCAAAAGTTTTTTGTCTTTGTTTGTCTCTTGACCCACACCGATCCTGTGTGAAAAAAGCCCGTGCTCAAGCGGAGAGGCAGCGGCCCACACGCGCTCTTGAGTCTTGTCCTCAGCATATAAAGCCGTATGCCAGTTTGAGCGGGGTCTCCCGTACTATGCGGAATCGACCCTATCCAGTGCCCCTGTGTATCGCGCGCCTTGCGGGGGGGGCGCGGAAAAGAGGAAGCGCCATCGCCCCAAGTGTGAGCGGATTGCACAACGCAATGCCGCCGCCCACCCCGCCACCTGTCACCTGTGCCTGTGCCTATTGCGCCCCAGGCACCACGCCCGCTCGGTCGCAGTGGCGGTGCGTGCCCCCTTCCCCCGCGTGCAGCTGCGATGTGGAGCCGTGCCGGAACCTTCCCGGAGCCTTCCTGCAGGCGGCTTCCCTTCCCCGCGTGCAACTGCGACCTCGGAGAGGGCTGTCACGCGGGCGGCGGTAGCGCCGGTGGCAATGGCGGCGGCGGCGGCAGCAGCAAGGGCAACACGGCCGGCGGCGAGGGCGGCGGTAGCGAGGGCGACGGCGAGGGCGGGGGTGGCGCACGGGGCGGTGACGGCGGCACCGCCCTGCTGCCGAGGCGCGTCCTGAGGGAGGCGGGAGGCGGTGCGGCGGCGGCGAGGCTTGCGCGGGAGGACGCTTGGGCGTGGGAGGCGGCGGAGGAGGCGGTGGCGTGGGGCGCGCAGCGGGCGTACGAGCAGCAGGACAGCCCGCCGCAGAGGGGAGCGGGTTGGGGGTTCGCGTTTGCGAGCCTTCTTGGAGCCTTCCCCTGCAGGAGGACCCGCCGCCGCGCTGCCCAACGGGCACTCAGTTTGCGGTGCCGGCCGACGACTTGTATGGATACGGCGACCTGCCTCCCGTGCTGGTCACGGATTTGCTGCGTGTGCCCGCCGGCTTGCGGGGCGACTTTGTCCTCTCCTGGCGCTGGGACTGCGAGCAGACAGACCAGGTGTGGAGCACGTGCGGTGCGCACGCCCCGCACCGCCCCCTCTCTCCGCATGCGCGCGCTGACAGGCTGACCCCCTCTGCCACCCTCTCTCACCCTCTCTCCACACCCTCCGCCGAGCAGCCGACGTCACCATCGTGGCCTGATTTGCAGCTCCGGCACCTCTGCCCCGTACTGCACCGCTGCCACACTTGAGTTTCCTCCGAGCCCGTGTATCTCTGCGTCGACTCCACCAGACGGTTGTACCTCCTCGCTTGTACCTGTGCCACACAGTTGTACGTCTTTCCGTTCGTGCCTCGTGCCTGGTGACTCGTATGTGCCTTCCTGCTATCTCCTCACTCCTGCTCTACCTGCTCGGGTCCAGACCAGGCCGCCGGGCCCGCACATAGAGCATGATCACGGAATAGAGCATGATCGCGGACACGCGGAGCCGAGCCACGCGTCACGCAGCAGCCCTGAGGTGCCCTGAGCACACATGCAAGTGCCCATGGTCATATCTCGTCGTCGGTGCACTCGCCTGACAGTACCAGTAGTTTGCGGAAGACCGCGGCAGCATGTCGTCGCACCGGCGCAGTTGGCCAAGGTGTGACGGCAATATTTTCTTATAATTTGTGAAACACATTTCTGTAGTTTGAAAGACGCGAAATCTATGGGAAGGTCATGGGCTGGCGATGCAGCGGTGCCGGCACCTTCCCTCTCCCAGCCTCTGAGCTCTCCCACGGATCTTCAGCTGCAGCTGCAGATGTACCGTGGCAGGCCCGTATTATCTGGGTCGCTCACATTATCGACACATACGACCAGTACGTCGACGGAAGTGTGCAAGAGAGAGAGTTCGTTGGCTCGCGGCTCGGGTAAGAATGCCGAGCTCGCTGCTAGCCAGCGACTCCAGTACGTAGTAAAGCCGTAGCCCGGTGACCCTCGCGACTTCTTGTGAGCTTGCAAGTCGCTTCGCATCTGAGTCACCTTCCTTGAGTAGGAGGGATCGTCGGCGCGGTTCAAGTTCTCCTGCAGGGATACAGGCCGGGAGCCCTTAGCGTGCTGCATGTTGCCTCTATCTCTCTACGCGTAGCGGAGGCATCGTCATCATCATCATCATCATCATCATCATCATCTCTCTCTCTCTCTCTCTCTCTCCCTCCCTCCCTCCCTCCCTCCCTCCCTCCCTCTCTCTCCCCCCCTCTCTCTCTCCGCGCGCCAGAGGATCCTCTGTAAGACATGAAGTCCGTCGATCCTCTTACAGGTGTGGTCGTAGTACATGAAGTCCGTCGATCGAAGAGGTCACCCTGCACGACTGCCTGCACGTATCGATGGTCCAACAAGTGTGGCTGCAGTACTCGGAGAATTGCTCGTCCTCGTAACGGATTGTGTCGCTGTCGAGGTACCTATGCGTGCCGTCACTCCGCTTTCTTTTTTTAGGTGGCGAATGGGGAAATGCAGGCCCGAAGTTGCTCTGATGCCGCGCGAAACGGCCTTTCGCGACGGAGAAGGTTCGGCTCCATCAGCAGCGGCAACAGTGATGTGCCTTGCACGTGCGACGGCGCAGGGACGCCGATGAGGTCGAGGATGGTCGGGTAGAGGTCGATGTTCTCCACCATAGCCGGAACGCGCGCTGGGGAGTAGCCGGGCGCCTTGATCATCATCGGCACATGCAGGTCCGTCTCGTACATCGAGTGCTTGGCCCACAACCCCTTGTTGCCGTTCGCATGTTCCAGTACTGCTTCGGGCACGCGAACGGCAGGTGCGGCCGGTTATACCCGGCGGCGATGAAGAAGGGCGTGCTGCCCTTTTGCTTGGCGATGCGAATGTCTTCGATCATGGTCTGCGGGGCCGGACCGGGCCACTGTTGCGGCTGCCGAGTGCCACCCCGGGGGGGAGGGGAGGGGCGGCTGATAGCCGACCTTAATCGTCATCTTGCCGTCAGTTTATCGCCACTTGTCCTCCGGCCCCTCTGCCGCCTCCGTCGCCGGCCGCGTGCCTTGCTGAGTGGTGCGTAAAGATGAAGTGAGAACAGACAGGGCGGTGCTGCGCGGGCGTGAGAAGGGGTGGGAACCGGGCGGTCAGTAGGCGCACATTGTAGAGCTGCGATCCGACGACCCGCGACGAGTTGAACGGTTGATCATCGACGTAGCCGCACGTGCCGAGCGAGGCACACTCGTGGACCTCGCTGGTGTAGTTCGTGTAGCTGTGCGACCCGGTGATGTCGCCCGCATTCGGCTTTTCGTTCAGGCGAAGGGCTTGACCATCCTCCCGGAAGGGCTTGTCACGTGCACACGCTCGGGAGTGGGCAGGGATCGACATGGCGGGTGAAGTAGGCGTTTGGCGGCGCACGCCCTTGCTATCCGCCGCTATCGACTCGGGCTCCACCGAGATCGACTCGGGCTCCGCCGATATTGACTACTCCGCCGACATCCAAGGAAGAGTCGAAGAAAACCCCGCTGGGACCCGGACGCCAGCACAGGAGTGTGGTGACACACACTGTATGTATGTATGTAGAAAGATGAACACACTGTGGTGCGAGCGTCGCCCACACTGGGCGCTTCCCTCAGCAGAGCCATGGCTGGTGCTTCATCTCCCGCGACGGTCCCGCCCGACCCGACCTTCTCCAAAGGCGACGTTGTGAGAGTCGAAAACCTGAAGAGCCGCCAAGACCTCAACGGGAAGCAAGCGACGATCCTTGGCTTCCACGAAGCCAGCGGCCGTTACATGGTGGCAGTCGGGCCGACCGAGGCGATCAAGCTGCGCTCAAGCAATCTGCAGCTGGTGCCGCACCTTTTGAATCTGCCGCCCGAGGTGATTGAGCAAGTCGGCCTATGGCTGCTCCGACGCGACCCTCCGAGCGTGCTGCGTCTGCTGCGCACCTGCCAGCACGCGCGTTTCCTGTGCAAGGCGCTGCGCGAGTGGGTGCATCTGCGCCGCCTGCGCTGGCTGGACGAGGCCGAGCCCGCGGACGCGCCGCCGTTCATGCGCGTCTTCGGCCCTCCGGTGGGCAACGGCGAGCCACAGGCCGTGCAACGCTGGCTTGGGCCTGCGGAGCTCCGTGCGCCGCGGAGGGCTCCAAATCAGGGCCACGAGGGCCTCGCGTCCGACGTCACGCTAAGCAAGGACGGGCGCACAGTGCGTCAGCAGAAGGGCAATGGCGCTGGTTGGGTGGCCGGCCCACCGCTGCCGGGCAAAGGGACCATCGCGTGGACAGTCCGCCTCATCACCGACGACTGGACAACGGTGAGTGTGGGCGTGAGCTGCGAGCGCATCGGCATGAGCTGGGCACTGTATCTGGCTGGCGGCTCGCTGCGGTGCCTCTCGCGTGGGCCGGAAGGGTTTGGCTACTGGCGCACGTTCTCGCCGCCGCCAGCCGGCTATCCGTTCGGCAACGGAAACGCGATCCACTTCAACAAGGGTGGTAAACCTGGGCCGCCCGCTTGTGGCGCCGGCACAAGGAATACATTTGTCGCTGTGGCAAACGCGCCCAACGGCAAAGAGCTGCGCCATTGCCGCGCCGCTGGAGCCGAGCGGCTCCAGGCAGACGTCGAGATCATTTGGGACGCCAACGGTTCGCAGCTCTACATGCGCGTGAATGGGGGCGAGCTGATTGGCCCACGTTATGCGGACGATTCTTCGGGCCCCTCACACCAGCCGTTCGTTGTCGGTGGCTTCCCGCGCGGCGTGCGACTTCGCCCGTGGGTTGGGCTCCAGGGCGCTCGCGATGAAGCCACAATCAGCCCGTGTTGGTATGAGGCAGGGCCTTCGCTGCGCGCTGCCCTCCGGGAGTTCCTGGCCGCCGCCGGAGCCCGTGAGCAGCGCGAGCAGCGTCATGCGGTGCCTGAATCGACCGGGCCGCAGGACAGCGACTCTGGATTGAGGGCGGCGCGGCCACCGCCAGGCGCGCATGGTGCCAGTGGTGCAGGCGGCGCCGGCGCGAGCGTGGATGCCGCGTACTTGTGTTGAGTGATCTATTGCAATAGCAGCTCTAAATTATCAACCCATAATTCTCAGAATCTCTTTGTTGTCAACACGCGCAAACAAAAGGCGGAGCACACCCTGCTCTTACGCTTCACCGAGCTGCCGCCGAGCTCTTTATGGCCCGTGCGCGTTTTCTTCTTTCTGGCGGCATGAGCGGCGCCAGCCGAGCCCTGCTGCCCGACCTGGCGGTGGGCGACCTGGCCGCGCTGCGCGCCTTCCTCTCCGGGTGTGGGACGCGCGGCACGTCGCTCGCGGCCCAGCTCGACGCGCGGCTCGACACCGAGAAGCAAGACACGCTCCTCACCTGGGCCGCTCGGCACGGGCAAGCCGAGGCGGTGCGGCTGCTGCTCGAAGCCGGCGCGAGCGTGGGGGCGACGAGCGGCACCGGCCGCGCCGCGCTGTTCATCGCGTGCCAGGAGGACTACCCTGAGATCGCCGCGCTGCTCCTCGAGGATGGCGCGGCGATCAACCAAGCCAACGTCAACGGCGTCACGCCGCTGTACATCGCGTGCCAGAAGGGCCACCTCGAGATCGCGCGGCTGCTCCTCGAGGCAAGCGCGGTGGTCGGCCAAGCCAACACCAGAGGCGTCACGCCGCTGATCGCCGCGTGCTTCCAAGGCCACCTCGAGATCGCCAAGCTGCTGCGCGACGCGGGCGCTTTGATCAACCGAGCCAGGGATGACGGCGTCACGCCGCTGTTCATCGCGTGCGCTCGGGGCCACGTCGACATCGTCCGGCTGCTTCTCGAGGCCAGCGCGGCGATCAACCAAGCCAGGGACAATGGCGCCACGCCGCTGTACGTCGCGTGCGAGAAGGGCCACCTCGACGTCGCCCGGCTGCTCCTCGAGGCCAGCGCGGCGGTCGACCAAGCCGATAAGGATGGCTTCACTCCGCTGTTCGTCGCGTGCCAGTATGGCCACCTCGAGTGCGCCCGGCTGCTCCTCGAGGCCAGCGCGGCAGTCAACCAAGCCGCAGAGGACGGCGCCACGCCGCTGTACATGGCATGCCAGAACGGCTACGTCGACATCGTCCGGCTGCTCCTCGAGGCTGACGCGGCGGTCGGCCAAGCTAGCACCAGAGGCGCCACGCCGCTGTACATCGCGTGCCAGATGGGCCACCTCGAGATCGCCCGGCTGCTGCGCGACGCCGGCGCTTCGCTCAACCAGGCCAACGCCAGAGGCGTCACGCCGCTGTACATGGCGTGCCAGAATGGCCACCTCGAGATCGCCCGGCTGCTGCGCGACGCCGGCGCTTCGCTCAACCAGGCCAACGCCAGAGGCGTCACGCCGCTGTACATGGCGTGCCAGAATGGCCACCTCGATTGCGTCCGGCTGCTCCTCGAGACCGGCGCGGCGAAGGACCAAGCCCAGACCCAAGGCGCCACGCCGCTGCTCGTTGCGTGCCACCGGGGCCACCTCGAGTTGCCAAGCTCCTCTCCTCCTATGGCGCCTCCCGCGCCGCTACACCCTTCGGCACGCCCGAGGAGGCCGCAAACAACGAAGGCCACGCCGACCTCGCCGCCTGGCTGGTCGCCAGCCGCGGCTGGACGCCGCTCGCGCACCTTGAGACCCTCACCGCCGCCCGCGCGCTCTCCCTGCTGCGCAGCGGCGCAAGCCTGCACGAGGGCGGGCCGACGCCGCTGCAGCGCGCCGCGGGCGGCGAGGGCGAGGCGGCCGCGCTGATCCGGCGGGCGGCGGCGCCGTGGTCGCCGGCAAGCCACTCGCTCTTCCCCGCGGCGGCGCGCGAGTACGCGGTGATGGTCATGCGCATCGGCTACCAGATCGCGCTCTCTCCGCCCGACGGCGCCGAGGCGCGCCCGGACTGGAGCGCGCTGTCCGACGTGTGGCGCGAGCACGTGCTGCCGCACGCGGTGGCGCGCTGAGGCCGAGTGAGGACGCGAGTGCCACGCGGCGGCGCTGACCCGGCGGGCGGCGGGCGGCGGAGGCGGCGGAGGCGGAGGGGCAGGCAGCGTTTGAGCGTGTATCACGATCGACGACGCCACGCCACACGCGGGCGCGATCGACGCCTTGGAGGAGGAGCTGTCGGCGCTCGGCGCTTCGCCTCGCAGCGCTTGAGGTTGCCGAGGCGCCGGCGGCCGCTGCTCAGACGGCGGCAACGGCAGTGGGCGAGGTTTGAACCACTCACATGTGCGTCGTGTGCATGACCGAGCCGATCACGCACGTCATGGGTTCCGTGCGGGGACTAGAGCAAGTCGCCCTGCGGTGAATATCCCGGGGAGAGATGTGCATTGGAGTTTAGTCAAGACTGTTTAGGCTGTTAGCTTGTCTGAAGTAAACACTTCTTTTCTCTTGCATTCTTTACATAGGGGCTAGGGCTAGGGGCGACGGCCGCACGGAATCGCCGCCGGCGGGGGGCGAGGGCGCTAGCGAAGGAGGAGGAGCGAGAGCCCGGGGAGGATGGGAGGGGGGTCGGCCGGAGGAGTACGCCGGCCTCTTCGACGGCCCATAAGGGGCCGTCGCCTACCGTGCCTTTTGTAGTGCCAGTCCGAGCCAGTCTGCTGTGGTTAGTAAAATTCTTTAGATACTGTGCGAGCGGCATTTCGTAAATTCTTTAGATAACGCGACCATCATGTCTGACAGCTCGCGGCCGTCGTCGCGCACGCGGTCGCGCCGGCGCTCGGCAGCAGTGTCCGCTGCAACAGCACACAACGCACAGGTCGCGCCACTGCTGCAGCTTCCGCAGGTGTTAGTCACCGAGGTGCTCGTTTGGCTACCTGCGGCGGTGCTCGGTGGCGTGAGCTGCGTGTGCACTGCCTTGCGAGATGAACACGTGCCGGCCGCCGTGTACGGGCGCGCGGCACTTCTGAGCCTCGTAGTCCCGGATCCGCCACCATGCAAGCCGCTCGCCAACGCGCTCGACTTCTTGGAGGAGCTCTTGCGCCGGAGGAGCACGCTGGCCGCAGGAGAAGCGCACACGCTCTGCCTTCAGCCGTCACCGTCAGCACTGTATTCCTGGGGAGGCAACAGCGACTACGAAGAATACACCGAAGCGTGGGGTCTTGGTGAGCCCTGCGTCGCCTTCCTGGGCCATGGCAAACAGGTCGGCAAAAACGTGAGGTCGCCAAGGCGGGTGCGGTCCATCATTGACGCACAGGGCTGTCGCGAGTGGGCAGAGGCGAAGATGAGCCTGCTGCAAGTCTCGGCAGGTGCTTCGCACAGCATGGCAGTCTCGAGCCGTGGCGAGGTGCTTAGCTGGGGTGATGCCTCTGACGGCCAGCTCGGCCACGGCCGGGTTGAGTTTGGCCAGTACCTCGGGCGCGATGACTACGAGACAGCGGAGGTGCCGATGGCGATCCACTTTCGATCGGAGCTGGCGCGGGAGCTGATCGTACAGGTATCATGTGGTCATGGCTACTCCTTGATGCTGTCTCGAAGCGGCCGCGTCTACTCGTGCGGCAGCCGCGGCAACGGCGAGCTCGGCCATGCAGACTGGCCGAAGCAGCCCCACGTGCCAAAGCGCGTCGCGAGGCTCGGCGGAATCGTGCAAGTCAGCGCCGGGTCTCACTCGCTGGCAGTGTCGCGCGACGGCAAGCTGTACAGCTGGGGCTGGATGGCAAACGGCCCGCCCTGCCGTGGTCCAATGGACGCCCCGCTGAACGCCCCGAGCGTCCCACCGCCGCATGTCCCTGGCGAGGTCGCCTTCCTCCTAGACGCCCCCGGAGCTCCACCGCCGAGGGTGACCAAAGCTTGTGCCGGAGTGGACCATGGGCTGATCATCACGGACGACGGCGGGCTCTTCAGCTACGGCCGCGGAGACTACGGCGAGCTCGGCCATGGCGATAGGCACTCGAGCTACCGGCGTGCGCGTCGGGTGGCGCTAGCACATCGGGTAGCGGACGCCAAGGTGGGTCAGTTCTTCTCCGCAGCGCTGACCGACACAGGCGACGTCTACACCTGGGGCCAGGGGTTCTTCGGGAAGCTGGGCCACGGCGACGAGTATCCGGACGAGGACGTGGATGAGGCGGGCGGCGAGTGTTGCCTGCTGCCGCAGCGCGTGCAGGGGCTGCCCCCTGTGGCCGAGATCGCACTCGGGTCGTGCCATGCGCTCGCCCGCCTGCGCGACGGCGAGCTCCTCGCTTGGGGCTGCAACGACGCCGGGCAGCTCGGCCAGGGGCATGCCTGCAACGAGGAGCGCCACGGCCATCCGGAGCGGGTGCGCTTCCGCAGTGCGGGGGAGGACGACGAGGAGGACGAGGAGGACGAGGAGGACGAGGACGAGGGCGAGGACGAGGACAACGAGGACGAAGAGGACGAGGAGGACGAGGATGAGGAGGATGAGGAGGACGAGGATGAGGAGGATGAGGAAGACGACGAGTAGGTACGAGTGTAGGCACGACACTAGGCACACGGGACTTCTAAAAGGAGAAAAGAAACTCGAGCAATTTTTGACCGCGCAAGATAAAAGTAGCGATAAGAAAAATTGACGCCTACTCACGCTGCCGCCTGGGAGACATGGCTCGCTGAGCTCTCCTCTCTCTGTACGTGCGCTGCGCGCTCAGCCTCTGGCACTAGATGGCCGAGCGCACGCGACTCCACCATTGTCCATTCGTTCGTGAAAACAGAAAAGCCGTGGCGGCGCTCGAAACGCGCGCACACGTGCGGGGGTGGCCGCAAGCGAGCCGCCCGCCGCCAGATCAAGGCGGGGCTGCCGGCAGAATACACACGGCACGACGGCCAACCGCCAGAAAACCGCCGCCGCCGCCGCAACCGCCGCCGCCGCCGCCGCCGCCGCCGCCCGATCGCCGCCGCCCGCTGACGCAACCGCAGCCCGCCGCCTCCTTCTCCGCCGCCCGCCGCCGACCCGCGTGACAAGCGAACAAAACCGGCGCTCCCTGGCGCCGTACCGCCCGTGCCCTCCACCCACCCCAGAATCACCGGAGCTCCCGACCAAATCACCGAAGCGTCTGGGGGGGGGGGGGAGGGGGGGGAGGGAGGCCACCGGTGTGCCATTGCTCGCCCCGCCGCCGCCTCAAAAGCCTCGCCGCCCGCCGCCTGGGCTGTGCCACCGCTCGCGCGTGCCGGAGCCATCCGACGCAAACACGACGGGCTGCATCGACTCGTCCTCGTTCGCGAGCGACGAGTTGGAGAAGTGAGCGATGAGCGCGCGCTTGCCCTGGATCCGCCCGTAGTTGATCTCGCACACCTTGTCCGAGTTGAAGCGCTCCCACTTCCGGCGGTGGAACTCGCGGTAAAATGCGGGGACATGGTGAAACGAGATCATGTTGACGAAGGCGTACCCGACGTTGCAGCGGTTCTTAAAGTCGATCGGCAGGTAGAGCAAGTCGAACTGGCCCGAGTGGTTCTGCTCGATCACCGAGAGAAGCATCCGCTGCGTGTACTTGTTCGGGATGTGGCGCACCATGAGCGTGGTGCGCGTGTCCTCGCCGGCAATCACGCGCGGAAGGTCGAGCCTCATATCCGAACGGCGATCGCCGCCGCCACCACCACCACCACCTCCTCCTCCTCCCCCTCCTCCTGCCCCGCCGCCGCCGCCGCCGCCGCCGCCGCCGCCGCCGCCGCCGCCCCGCCGCTCCACCTCCTCGAGCCGCTCGCGCCTGCGCCGCCGCCCCGCCGCCCCGCCCCCTCCCGCCCCCGGCCCTGCCCCGCCTCTCTCGAAGGCGAGGCAGCCTGGCCGCGACGGGTCGGGAAACGGCACCGTGGCGGAGCTGGCCGAATGCTCGGACGAGGACGACGAGGCGACTGACCCGGCGCCCGAGGCGGCGCGGCATGCCCCTTGCGTGGGTGGGGCGAGCACTGCCATGGCGGCCAGGGCCTGGGCCTGGTTCACAGCAGCGGTGCGGTGTGAAGAGGCGCCGTTCACAGCAGCACGGCCGCGGCGAGGCCAAAGCCCGGACCTGCTGGAGCTGAGCCTGTAACACCTGCGGGTGGGTTCGGGTACCGTGGGGTAGGGGAGGGTGGGTTCGGGTACCGTGGGGTAGGGGAATGGGTTCGTGCACCTGCGCCCACAGCGCCTGCTGCAGTCCGTCAGCGTCGTGCGCCGGCGGCGGCGGAGGCAGCGGCGGAGGCAGCGGCAGCGGAGGCCGCGAAAATTGCTGCTGCTGCAGCGCGCCCGACGCGGCGCCAGTGGCGGCGAGCGGGGCGGTGCCACCGCAAAAGTGGCCTGGCACCACCGGCCGCTGGGGGCTGGCAGGAGGCGGCCTCGGCGCGTCGTCTAGCGTCTGCTGCGCCATGAGGTGGCGCAACGCCATCACCTGCTGCGCCAGCTGCTGCTGCTGCTGCTGCTGCTGCTGCTGCGCCTGCTGCTGCTGCGCCTGCTGTTGCTGCTGGCGATGCTGCTGCTGCTGCTGCTGCTGTGGCGGCGGCGGCGGCGGTTGGTGCCGCTGCTGCTGCTGCGCCCCCCTCGCCGCTTCCGCCCTCGCCGCCTCCGCCCTCGCCTCCGCCTCCCAGCCCGCCGCACCGATGCCGTATGGGTACGGCAGTGCGGACAGAGGCGCGGGCAGAGGCCCTGGCAGTGGCGGCCCTTGTGCCTGTGGGTGGGTTCGGGTACCGTGGGGTAGGGGAGGGTGGGTTCGGGTACCGTGGGGTAGGGAAGGGTGGGTTCGGGTACCGTGGGGTAGGGGAGGGTGGGTTCGGGTACCGTGGGGTAGGGGAGGGTGGGTTCGGGTACCGTGGGGTAGGGGAGGGCGAGTTCGGGTACCGTCGGGCAGGGGAGGGCGGGTGCAAGAGTGTACGTCGGTGTATGTGTGCATTACACACGTGTTTGTGTCGCGTGTGTGCTTCTGTGTGCATCGTACGCGCCGCTGCCGGCTGCAGCGGCAGCACGGGGGGGACGGGGGGCGGCGGAGGCGCGTTGGGCGGGACGGAGGGGGGCCAGCTGCCGCTGCCCGCCGGCGTGTGCTGCCCTCCCTC